GATGGCAAGCTCATCCTCGGCCGCGACGACGACGACGACGACACGAGGGCTGGCGGCGCCATGGACGTCGACAACCCTGACGCCTCGGGCGTGGGCGCCTACGTTGCGGCGCTCAAGGGCAAGGACGTCGCGCAGCGGGGACGCGGCGGAAAGCTCAAGTTTAGCAACAAGAACCCGCAAGGACCAGCACGACGACGACATGGATGAGGATATGGACGAGGGCACAGCGCACGCTGTCAAGGCGCACGTCGCGCGGGGCCGTGGCGGATTCGGTCGCGGTGGTGGTGGTGGAGGCCGCGGTGGCGGTGGTGGAGGCCGCGGTGGCGGTGGAGGCCGTGGCTTTGGCGGTGGACGCGGACGCGGAGGTCCTGGTGGCCGCGGCGGTCGTGGTGGCATTGCTTCCGGACGTCGCGGACTGGGCGAGGACAGGAGGCGAGGCGGCTTTGGTGGTGGTGGCGGCGGCGGCGGACCGCGTGGTGGTATCCAAAAGTCGCCGCGCGGCCGGAGGTAGAGAGAGGCGGACCGAGCGTGGGACGTGTGGCCTGCTTCGGCAGCGGGCGTGGGATTGGTGTGCAGACTATACCCCATGGCTGTCCGGGCCAGAAACGATTTAGATTTGATTGGCATGATTAGGCGTACGGGATGGACATGTTTCTATGCATTTGTGATGCTGTCATGACCTTGCAGTGAGATGGCGTGACAGTCTAAAGAGTCCGTAGGCCTATTCAACGTGATGGCAGGGTCATACAAACGGGCTGCCACGCAGCATTTGGAAGCATGGTTTGCATTATGTACTGTCGTGCCGTCGAAGCGACGCAATCGGCATCATATACGGCGACGAAACGAAATCAAGCTGATGCAACGAACGAGGCGGCCCAGTTGGAAGACGAACCAAAAAAAAAAACTACAACACAAAAATAAAAACTCCCAGACGCCGTGCGTGGTGCTGCCCTTGCTCTTTCGCGCTCCCTCTGCCCTGTCTACCTGAACTTGCTGAAAATGACGGCAACGATGAGGAGGACGAGGATGGTGATGATGGCGATGGTGATTACCCGATTTGTAGCCATCCTGCGCGGTCAGCGATGTTCTTGACCGAAGCACTCAGCATCCCACTCCAACATGCACTCCAGCATCCCACTCCAGCAAGACGGAAAGCAAGACGGAAGAAGAGAAAAAGAAGAAGAAGAAAAAGAAGGCTCACCTACGCGCCATGCCGCGCAACGTCTTGACACTGCGGTCGACATAGCCCTCGCTCTGCAGCAGCGTCTCGTGGGTGTGCTGGATGGTCTCGCGCTGGCGGTGGAGGTCGGCGAGGGTGCTGGCGCCAATGGCCTCGGTCTCGCTGGCGAGGGCCTGGCTGTTCTTGAGGCGCTGGGTGGAGCGGTCGAGGCGGTCGGAGCCGCTGAGGAGCTGCTGGCGCTGGGCGAGGTTGCGGTCGGCGGGCCCGCCGGCGGGGTCGTCGGTGTAGCGGGCGCCGAAGAGGGCGGCGCGGTCGTCGGAGAGGGCGCGCAGGCGGCGGCGCGCGGCGTCGACGTCCGACTCGTGGTTGCGGAAGCGCGCGTTCGTCTTGGCGCGGTGCGGCGAGGGGATGTTGGCCTTTTCGAGGCGCAGCTGGCCGAGGAGCTCGTCGGCCTCCTCGACGGCGCGCTCGGCGGCCGAGAGGGCCGCCTTGCGCGGCTCGCCGCTGAGCTCGGGGATCTGGTCGAGCTTTTGCGCGAGGTCGGCCTGCACGAGCTTGAGCTCGGCTTCGTAATCGGCGAAGCGCTCGGTGCCGGCTTCGGTGTCGAGGTGGGAGGCCATGGTGGGCGAAGCAACTTGAGGAGGCTCAGGGCTTGATCGATCGGGTCTGAAATGAAAGGCAGGCAAGTCGCTGATGGAATTGGAGAGGTGGGCGGATGGTTGACGGGTGGTCGAGATGGATGTTCGGTGCCTGGATGGATGGATGGATGGAGGATGTCGTCGCACAGCGATCACTGCATCTGGCTGGAGCGGCAAAGAAGGGTGGGTCGTTGCGAAGCGCAGCCGCGGACGGTGGAGCACAATGCACGTGACCTCACGAGATGCATTTATTCGGCCGCCGCCTCTGCGCTCTTTCGACTTTTCTCTCCTTTTTCTTCTTTAAAGTTGAACCCCCGGCGAAGAAATAGGCCCCACGAACAGGGATCGCTGCGCTTCCTTCGGGGAGACGGCGCTCGGTGCGCGTGGAGTTGAACAGAACCGGGCAGAAGAATTATCCTTTGCTGATACGTCGCTTTTAAGAATTGGGGGACTCGTTCACCACGTCTCTCGATCCCGTTGAGTGCTCGACATGCTTTGTCTCTTGTCTCAGGAGCCAAGTGCGAGTTTCGATATGCTGTTTGCCATGTTTGATCTGTTCGTCATCGAATGGAGCGGAGCCATGCTGCGTCTCGAAGATTTGAATGTGAATCTGACGATCCACCAAATGCTGCCATGTGCAAACCCTTCATCTGGTGCCTCTGATGAACACGCCAAAGATGCGTAGTCAGCATCTGCGCCTCTGTGGCTGAAGGTCCAAGTTCAGCCCCCCAGAGTGGAACCGTCTCAAATGTAAGCGTCACTGACCGAGCGCGACCTGGAAGGGACGGGACGGGACGGCATGGCATGGTCCTGCCGTCGCTTTTGCTGCTGCTGTCGCTTTTGCTGCTGCTGTCGCTTTTGCTGCTACGACTTGCTCGCTCCTGCTCTCGGTGCTCTTGTCTCATCGCATCACCATGACCTCAGACGTTCGCAGCTTCCCGCCTCTGCAGCCATCCCCCCAACCAGCACCTTGAACTTGTTCGTGTGGCAGGCACCTCACTACAGCACCTCCCCCGTAGCGCCAGCAGGAAGCACCAGTCGCACCTGACGCCACCATGGCCGACAAATCAGACCTGTACGTTCATCGAGCCAAGACCGGCGTCCTTCCCTCCAGATCAGCATGCATCCATCCCCTCAGATCTCTGTCGCGCTAGGTGCCATGCACCTGCCTGAGCTTGCCCTGCTGCACCTACCTGAGCTTGCCCTGCTGTACCACACCAGCGAGTGCCGGTCGGGCCAGCCAAGATGGTCAAGCTACACGTTAGCATGAGAAGCTAGCTGCCAGCATTTCAGCTTCCAAGCTGCCACCATCGACTCAGTGTCCATGTCTCACATTCCCACGTTGGCACACTCTCTTCCCGCCACCCCCATTCTCTGCATTTACCATATTGCTTTCACATGCCACAGTCAATTTATTAAACATCCAAGACCTTCCCTTGAGCCTCTCCTCACACCTCAACCCCCCATGTCCTGACCAACCTCCGATCACCTCCCGCATCTCTCCCCCCCGCCATGTCCCACTCTCACTCCCACTCCAACTCGAGCAACCACTCCTCACACGTCTACTCACACCGACGGCCGGGTTCGCGCGCATCGGTCCTCTCGACGGGCGCCCCCATTGACGTCAACCTCAGGAAAAAGGTCGCCGTCGTCGGCAGCGGCTGCTCCGGCATCGCCGCCCTCTGGGCACTCAACCGCAGCCACCACGATGTTCACCTCTACGAGGCCGCCAGCCGCCTAGGCGGTCACACCAACACGGTCAAATGGACCAACGGCAAGTTTGAGACGAGTGTCGATACGGGCTTCATCGTCCTCAACACGGCCACCTACCGTGAGCTTCTCCCTTTCTCACCCTCAGCTCCCCTCGACTAACACGGCTTTACAGCCAACTTTATCAACTTCCTCAAGCGCGTCAAAGTCGATACCGTCCCCACAGAAATGACCTTTGGCGTCACCAGAGATCGAGGCCTCTTCGAGTGGGCCGGCACGAGCCTCGACGCCGTCTTCTGCCAGCGCAAGAATCTCTTCTCCCCGCGCATGTGGCGCATGATCTTCGACATTGTGCGCTTCAACCAGTTCGCCCTTGACCTGCTCATCACCGGCGACGACGTCAACGATGCCGCCGCCATGAACGGCCACAGCCACGCCTATGGCCACGGTGCCGGACCCGAGGAGACCATTGGCGAGTACCTCGAGCGCGAACGCTACTCCGACGCCTTCCGGGACGACTATCTCATCCCCATGACGGCCGCCGTCTGGAGTACCAGCCCCGACAAGTGCACGCTCGACTTCCCCGCCGTCACCCTCGTACGGTTCATGTAGGTCCTTGCCCGAACACGGCCAATGCTTTGCCGCCACTGACAACGCTGCAGGTGGAACCATCACCTCCTGTCCACTGTCGCCACGCGTCCGGACTGGCTGACCCTCAAGGACTGCGGCAAGTCGTACATCGACGCCGTCATGAGGGGCTTCCCGTCGAACCATCTCCACCTCAACAGCCCCGTCACGAAGGTCACAAAATGAAGACGACGGCCCGTGTCCGCGTCCACCTGCCCAACGCGACTCGGACGTCTACGATCACGTCATCCTGGGCCACTCACGCCGATCAGCCTACAGATCATTGAGGACACAGCCACCGACGAGGAAAAATCTATCCTCGGTGCCTTTAACACCTACAGAGAACAAGGTCGTCCTTCCATTCCGACCTCTCTCTCATGCCCGTTGCCCCGCAAGGCCTGGACCAGCTGGAACTACCTGACCCTCTCGTCGCCGGCTACCGGCAAGCAGAACATCGATCAGATCTCTCTCACCTACAACATGAACATCCTCCAGCACATACCGACCTCGACCTTCGGCGACGTCCTTGTCACGATGAACCCCCTCCACGAACCCGACCCAGCCAAGACGCAGGCCTCCTTCACCTACCGCCATCCCCTGTACACTCCCGAGGCAGTCCGTGCCCAGCGCCTGCTGCCGCGTATCCAGAACACGCGCGGCATCAGCTACGCCGGCGCCTGGACAAAGTACGGTTTCCACGAGGACGGTTTCAGCAGTGGTCTTGCCGCCGCCCAGGACCATCTGCACGCGCGGCTGCCGTTCCAGTTTGTCGACTCGACTTATAGCCGTGGACGTCGGCCTGTTCTCGGACTTGCTGACTTGCTACTGCGCGTCTTGATCCTGATTGTGCAGGTGTTTGTGGTGCAGGTCCTGGAGGCGGGGTGGGGCGCTGTCCGGGGAAGGATAGGGCCGAAGGTGGAAAACGTGCGCAGGACGTTGAAGAACGGCAAGGCGCACTAACAGTTGTGATGAGCGTAGGATCTCGCTTGGAAGCTGTAAGCTGTAGTCGAGGAAGGAAAGCGGTCGTACATAGATCTCAATCGTCTCAAAGCGGGCGTTATTGGAAAATTATTTGTTGGAAATAAAGTCCATATTGAAGTACACAGGCAGTCCAATGGGACCACAAAGTGACTTGCCCAGCCATCACCCACGGTGCGGCGTCTATTTTGATCAATAGTATGATACAAATTTACATTGATATGCAGCATGCTCATCGCATTCATCCCCACGGTCCATAGCCTCTCACGCGGCAATCTTCCGCGGCGCCGGTCCCTCGAGCCCTGGGAAAGCCGACGGCGCCTTGTACACCCCATTGTCGTCGTACTTTGCTTCTGCACAAAGTCAGTCTCTCTCTGTGGATACTCGCATGGGAATGAAGACAAAACAGAAAGAAGAAACTCACTGAAGAAAGTGTACGACAGCGTCACAGTCTCGATGCCCTTGGCGTTGAGGTCATTGACCATGTCCGGGTCGAGGTAGAAGAAGACGGGCATGTCGACCGTCTCGCCGGCGTTGAGGCGCTGCTCCTCAAAGCAGAAGCACTGGATCTTGCTAAAGTAGGGCGCCACCTGGGCGGGCGTGACGCTGTACGTGGCGACGCCGATGATGTCGCGGTCCGAGTTGTTCGTCGCCGTGTAGAAGGCGAGGGCCGTCTCGCCGGGGAGCACGCGAACCTCGCGCTGCTGCGGCGTGAACTTCCAGGGGAGCACGTCCGAGACGGAGGCGTTGAAGGTGACGCGGATGCGCGGCGACGACGTCAGCGGCACGAGGCGCGCGGCGAGGTCCGCGTCGTCGTAGGTCGAGTCGGGCCCGTGGGCGCGCACCGGCTGGCCGCCCCAGCCGGTGGTTTGGCAGATCTGGGGTGCTGCCGTCAGTCTCTCTCTCTCTCTTGCTTTTCGTATTGCCGGATGCAGGACGCCGAAGGAGCCTTACCATCTTGTAGAGGGGCACGGAGCCGTAGGAAAAGGCGACGGTGCCGAGGATGATGCTGAGGGTGTAGTATCTGGTCGGAGTGTCAGCATCCACTGCCCGGCTGGCGCTCCGTTGCGCTGGGCTGGCACTCCATACGCTACTGTGGCATTCTTTCTCCTGTAGTGGGCGTTGACCTGCGCCATTGACGGCGTGTAGCGCTGCTGCTGTGACTGCTGCTGCTGCGAGGAACTCGATGCGTTGCGGGCGCCGCTAGGGATTCGGGGCGTACGAATCGTCTGCGGGCGAGCATGTTGGCACAAGGAGCAGCTCCATTGTCGGGAGGCTTGCGCTATGCGCTGTGGTATCCGGGGGAAGGCGTTCATCTTCGCGGTTTGCTGAGACGTTCGGTGGTGAGAGCTGGACTGCCGCTCCGAAGTCTGGCCATCATCAGATGTTCAACGCCGTACGGCGTCGGCGTTTGAGTTGGACCCGCTGGATCGGCGAGTGAAGTTTTAGTGGGTCCCTCTGCGTTCCCTCTTGCTCCACCGTAGCACCTTATCTAAGCACCCTGAAGGTGGGGTGCCTCTGAGCTTTGACGAGATCACGTGCACTCCTAGGGCAGCCGCCAAACTCCCCCAATGCCAAAACTTTTCGCCCACAGTCCCATCTGCGAACTTTCTGAAGAACCAGCGAGCCTCACGACAATCATCACGATCCCATCAACCACCCCCAGGTCGCCCATACTAACTGTCAAAATGGCCAAGGTCAACAAGCGTACGTACCAGAATGCCAGTAACGCAGCAATCTCCCCGAATTCGAGCTGACCGTCCCGCCAGTCCTTCACTCTTCCCGCCGCAAGTCGCGCGCCGCGCACTTCAGCGCTCCCTCCAGCGACCGCCGCACCATCATGAGCGCCCCTCTCTCCAAGGAGCTCCGTGAGAAGTACAACGTACGTTGTCCTAGCCTCCCGGCTACCTGTCGTGTTCCAAGTCGCTAACATGCCGCTCAGGCTCGCTCCATCCCCATCCGCAAGGACGACGAGGTCACCATCGTCCGTGGTGCCAACAAGGGCCGCGAGGGCAAGGTCACCGCCGTCTACCGCCTGAAGTACGTCATCCACATCGAGCGCGTCACCCGCGAGAAGACCTCCGGCCAGTCCGTCCCCATCGGCATCCACCCCTCCAAGGTCGTCGTCAACAAGCTCAAGCTCGACAAGGACCGTGAGTCCATCCTCGAGCGCATCAAGCGCGGCCGCGAGGCCAGCGCCAAGGGCAAGGCCGACGCCTAAGCGTCTTCCTTCCTGGGACTCGACCTGCGTCTCTGACCACCTCCACACCTGACGGATACCCTGTGGCATGCTCGCTGCTGTCGCAACCGTGCTCCTCCCAGCAGGCACGGCTCCTTCGATCTGCTTGTGGGGAGGCGTTCACACGGAGGGTGGTTTTCCCAGATAACTCGGGGCAGAGTTCTTTTGCTTTTCGGAAACGGATTCTCTCTTTTCCTCATGGGGAACTTCACCCTCCGAACAACGACAACGATTCTTGTTCTTGTCTTCTCGATCATGACCAATTTTTTTCAATCCGGCGTTTAAACTCACCATCCTCTCTTCCTTTTTTCGACGGTTCGGCAATGGGGGAAAAAAAGAAGCGCAGAAATTCGGCATGAGGAATTCAACCACGAAGAAACACACTTTTGGAAGGGGCGGCGCGACCAAGGTGGGGAGGTGCGCGCAGGGTAGCACAGGAACAACAAAACAAATCCAACAAATCGAGAAACTCGTTTTTCTCTATGGCCGTTTCACTTGGCAGTGACTCGCTCCATGGGAGGTCCTCCCGAAGCCCAACTCCCCCTCCCCTGCTGCCTCTCTTTCCTACACCGTCTCTCCTCTCCCATCTTGGGGGAGGTAAAGGGTGAGGGAGAAGAGCAGTGGAAGGGGAGTCCTTCACGAACCCCCATCGCGTGACATGATGCTGTCCTTTGCGGACATACGAGGGATCTCCTCCTTTTGCTACACATTCATGCTTGACTAACTTGACATGGAACGCAGCAAGCTCACATGACCAAGGTCGTTCTTTACATGAACTAGCAAGACCACCAATGAGCTCACGGTAGGTCGTGCCATTTTCTTTCTCTCATCATCGCACGCTAGAATATCTCCGCGTCAACCACCAAGTCCATGGTTTTCGAGGTATACGACTGGCGGAGACTAAAACCAGCGGGGAGACCTGTTTTCAGGATAACCACTCATCTGCTCTCGCATGAAGACTTTCACCTAGTTCTGCAATGAGGTCGAAAATTTGAACGCGAGGCACATTGCCTCGGCTTCCGACCACTATCATCAGGCCGACCGTAAAGCAGTCAGAAAGAATATAATATACACATCATGCCATACGGCTGTACCTACCCGGCTATCAACGTAACGGCGTCGTGGATGACACGTGCAAGTGAGGCGAAACTGTATAACTGCAAAAGAGCTAGCTAAAACTGGAAACTATCTTGACAGTGATGATAGACGTGGCCCAGTGAACGAAGAGCCTGCCACTTTTGTGAAGGGCTACGCTACCTCGCCACTAGGTTGCCATCTGTCCCTATCTCCAGTTCCATTCCAGCCATCCAATCTCATCTTCGTAGCATAAGCAAACGTTCCTGAACTGACCGCCTAAGACGGCCTTTCCCATAGCGATGATTGCCTCGGCTCATTGCAGAGACATCCAAATAAATCATACATGGGCAGCACCATTGAACACCTGCCACCCTGGCCACAAGAACTTTCCTAGTGTAGAGAAATGCGACGCCACAGGAGTGGGAAGCACCGTCGTGGGTTCTGTGGAGGTGTATGAGGCTCATGGTGCACACCCTAAGGCAACCGCATAATACTTTTCTCGTCGCCATTGAGTAGTGTCGAAAGCATGCCTCAGCTAAGCAATAAAAACCAACGGAACCAGTTGTAAGACCGGTTGTTGGAAAGAGATTTCGGGCAAGTAAGCAATGTAAAGTCGCGTGGCAAAGAGCAGAGGATGAAGCTGTACCAGAGTTGTGATACGTAATTTTGACAGGGTATGTCCTAAATCATTCCCCTTGGTCAGGCTTCTAATGTGTTGTCAGCTTGTCGTCTTCATTTCTGGCGTGTATGACCCATCCATGACTTTACTTACCATCATGAAGAGGTTTATTCTCATCCTTCGCCTCCTTAGAGGCACCTTTGGAACCTAGCTCCTGCCGTCCACCTTCGGCAGTTTTGAGTCCCGAAGCTCGCATCGCAGAACTGGAGGGCGAGCTGTTGCCCGCAGAAGGCGACAAAGAGGCGGCGGCAGAGCCAGCATAGTGAGGAAGAAGACCGTGAGCGGTGGTAGAGCTCATAGCACCAGGAAGCGCACAAGCACCGCTGGTAGGCTTCTTGACGAATGTCATGGCTCCACTGTGTCTGCTGCAGTCAGTCTCGATCATTAGCCCCGACTACAAAAAGTAGAAACCAGCAAATAGAAGCACGCACCTGTTGCGTGTCATATTCTGTCGACCCTTGAACAGGATTTTCTCACGCGACTCCTCGGCATCGTCCGACTGCGTCGACTGCGACTGGGTTGAGGGAAGAGGCGACTGGAAAGAAGGAGCAATCGCATTGCTTCCTGAAGTCTGATCCGAATCGCTGTATTCCTGGCTGAGAATCGAAGTCGCAGGGCGGCCACGAGTGCCGGCCTTGTCTTTGGCAGCGAGATTGTTTCCGTTCACATTATCCGACTTGGTGTCCCGTTTGTTCTTCTGTTCGTGGCGTGTAAGGGAAAGCGCCAGTAACTCCTTCATGGTGCGCACATTGTCATTGGGGTCTGTGGGACGAAAGCCGTAGTCACCATTGCCATCAACAGCCCGCAAGATCTTTCTCTGCTCAACTTGGGGCTTAAGATGGTAATCGCTGAGGTCACCAACAGGAAGACGAGATATTCCCTTGCTAGTCGAAGAGACACTGCTGTTATCCTCGAAGCCGCTGACAGAAATCTGGGCCATTTTCTGCTCAATTCCAGCCGAGTTCTGGTAGTCACCGGCACGCCCGTCCATGAATGGCTGTGACTTGTATGACGTAGCGAGGTCCGCAAAGCTGTTCTCCTTGGTTGGCGAAGGGGGGTAAAAGTCTTTGCCGTCGTACTTCGGTAAGCCCTTCTGGACCGAACGAGGGGCGTTTCCCCAGTATAGATGACGGGCCCGAACCTCATCATCAGTAAGCTGGCGATGATAGATGTAGTCCTCGTCCTTTGCATCCCGCTGGCTGACACCAGGGCGCAGCTTACCCTGCAGGTATGGAAGTCCGAGGCCGTTGTTCAGCTTCTGAAGATAGTTAAAGCTTGTAGTCCGGACTTCGAGTTGGTGCGAATGGTTGCCCATGGCGGGGACAGTGGTTTCCATGGAGGTCTGGGAAGGGGTACTCATGGGAATCTGGGGATTCTTCTTCGCCGCAGCATGGTCAGACCTTTCGGGTTCCGCTAAAGACTCGCGGCGGGGTTTATGATCCACGACCATGTTGGTGTGGCTGCGGGGTTGGAAGGGGGGTGCCAAGGCAGCCGTGATGGGCAGGCCGGATCTCTTCTTCATGGGTTCATACGAGGGGTTCGAGGTCCCAGAAGCCAAGTCCTTGACCGAGACGGAGGTTTCCGCCTTGTCGCTGTCGTCCGTGGAAAACATGGACTGAGTCGGCTTCGGCTTGAAACCAGCGGTCTTGGCTCGGTGCTCCCTTTTGCCAAGAATTGTATCTTTGTGGTCGGCCTCATTTGCAGTGTCGCTGACGGCGGAAGTCGACTTGCTCATCTCTCGGGACACAGAAGTGTCCTTGCTGGACACTTGGCCTCGCTGCTTGGCCTCGTACTCGAGCTGAGACTTCAAGTTATTCTTAAAGGTCTTGAGCTGGGTACGAATCCCGTCAGCGAGGTGCTTCATGTAGGTCTCATCAACCTGGTGCTTGTTGTATTGCAATTGATTATTAATCCACTTCAGCTGGGCGCGGAAGTTCTCAATGTGCTTCCTGGTGACCTCACTCATGACAATCGAGGACGGCGCAGGCGCAGAAGGCGCATGAAGAGGCTGTCCATTAGTCGCAGGGTTGTTGCCAGGAAAAGGCATGCCATGCAGGCTAGGCACGGCCATGGACATGTTCATGGGCATCGGGACCTGCATCGGCATAGGCACATGATGAGGCAACTGACCGCCTTGCCATTGCATCGGACCAAAGACGGGTGTGAACGGCATCTGAGGCATCATTGGTGCCATGGCACCTGTCGAGAAAGCCGGGATCCCAGAGTGCGGGGTCATCATAGGCATGGGCATTGAGAGCGGCATGCCGGGCATGAAGGGTTGAGCCGAGGCCGCATAAAATGGGCTGGGGTTTGGTCCAGGCACCACAGCGGAAGCCGCAGGAGTCGACTTCTCAGGTTTGGCGGATCCCTTGTCCGTCTTGGTGTCGCCGTTCTTGTTGGTGCCCTGAGACACCATGCTCGCAGGTGCCACTGGCATCTGTGGCATGGGGTAGCCGAATGGGAACGGCATCATTGGTACACTTCCCATGGGCATGGAAGCCGCCATCATGTCGGGAAAGCCAGCCGGGACGGAGCCTTGATTTGCTTGAGAAGATCCGCCAGCAGTACCGACGTTGGTAGAAAGAACCTGAGAACCTGCGTGAGGAACAGTGAGACTCGGAGTATCACCGCCTGGCCTGTCGTTGGCTCTTCCAGCAGGAGACGACGAGCCCCGAGGGTTTGGTACAATGCGACCACCAGCGGTGACGCGTACATGAGTCGGTGAAACAACTGCCATGTAGAATCTTTTGAAGCCTTCATTGCTTTGCGAATCGGTATCAACAGGGGCAGGAATGGGTCTGGGATCAGGAATTGGTCGGTGTTCGAGCTTCCATTCATGGTCCTGGCCGTCAAGCTGTTGACGAATGGGCTCCTCTGACCCGACAGAGGCCTCAACGTGGGAAGAACGATGGCCTGTCCCGTTCCTATTTCTGTTGATGGGAAAGCGTTTGTCCGAACCATTCTTTGAACTGTGGGTCATGGACTCGAATCCGTTGGGAAAGTTGCTAGAGGTTTCATACGCGTTGGTCCACTGCGAGCCATTCTTGCTGTGCCGCTCACCACCCGCCGGTTGAGCGAGGATGGGAAGTCGACGGAGACGAACAATGTCCACTATATCAAAGATGATTAGGTGGTACTCGAGAGAAGTATGAGTCAAAGAGTTGCGGGCCTACCGAGTCCATTCTGGACGAGAGAGTTAACCAAGTCACGTTCGAACGGGCGTGGTTTGGGGGTGATGGGGCGCATGCCCATGAGTTGATGGCGCTTGTACAAGTTGGCCATGTTGGAGACGGGATCTCAGTGATCTGAAGAATTCGTCGAAACTTGTTCAAAAAGGAAGAAAGTCCTTCTTCTCTGTTACGATCTGAAGGTTGGGACACTGTAAGTGGCACAGCAAGTTCCGGTCAATCTACGCACTGCGTTAGTATGATCGGCAGTACCTCGAAGGCTCGCAGAATGAAGTAAAGCAATAGTGGACATAGGGAGAGGAAATAGGAGGTGGCAAGAATGAAGAACATACCGAGCTGGGTTGTCGAGAAAGCCAAGAGAAAAGGTGAGAGGGCACGTCAACTGCGTTGACTGCAGGTGATAGGCATACAACGAGCTGGGAGAGGGTCAGCTTCCACCAAAATTGCAGCACAACGCGTCAGCGCGAGGAGGCGAAGGGCCACAAGCTGATGAAGGGTTGTGGTGAAAGGTCAGAATCAAAAAAGCGAAGGGCGTTTTCGTGATGGCAAAGGTGTTCCAAGAAGAAGTCGAGGCGCGAGGGATCAGGCGATGGAATGAGATGGGATGTAGTTGGTGGAGGGAAGCAGAGGAAACGGGCCAGCCCAGAGGAGATTCCCGATATTGACGATACTTCCTGGGGCAGGAATCCCTGGGAGTTGTAGGCAGCAGGGGTAGCCTTGGACGGAGCTGGTCAAGCCAGGGAGGTAGATTTTCGGAGGCAGTTGACAGTGTGAAGCCGTGAGGCAGAGGCGAATGTCAAAGGGAAAGCAGCGCGTAGGATGCTTACCTGGTAGAGCTCTGGTGTTGATACCTAGGTACCGAGGAAGAAGAAACGAGACTCAGCACACGTTGACCAGCGGCAATGGGCGTTGGTGATGTACTCGGTAATTCGTCAGGTGCCTCGGAAGCTCTTGGATCTCTCGGGTAGGAAAGTGCTGGGGAGCTTTTCGTGGCCTCCGATGTGTTCGTGCTTATGGTTCCAGCGGTTCGACGCAGTCACTGAAGGTAAGTCTGAATGTGGAGAGGTGGCAGCCCAAAATCGAGGTGATGTGCAGGATTGAGGGTTGAGTCGGTATTGTTCCAGAAAGGAGGGAGGCAGGGCGTTGAGGCTATTCCTGACGTGTTTGCGGGCAGGGAACCTATGGATCAGAGCATGGGGCAGCTTGACTAGGTACCTACCTTAGGTAAGGTACCTAGGTAGGCAAACCCACGAACTCACTCCAGAGCGTGGTGTTGAAGGCTCCGGGGGACGCGGGGAGGCACACCCCAATGTTGCTCGAGCCCGAGAAGGAGCACTCCAGCCCGAGAAGGAGCACTCCAGCCCGAGAAGGAGCACTCCAGCCTGTGTCTCCTGCCTCTATTCTGTTGCGCAACTGGAAGTCGTGATTCAAAGAGGCATCTGTGACTCCTAGATGCCTGCCCGGCGGCAAAGATCCCTGGTAAAGGAAATCTCTTCATGCCCTGGCCTTGCCTCATGAACTATTGTCTTCGCCGTTCCTCATGAGAACTCATTACGATGAAGTTCAGAGTTGCCGCCGCACCACTTCTCCTTTGCGCAGGATTTATCTCCAAAGGAAGGCATGCTGTACAGATCGTGCACACAGAATACCCTCTTTGGCCGCCCATGTCTATCCTAGCAAGACAAGGATACTCGTACTCACTGAGCAGCGCAGCGCAGCCACTTGGCCGGTATCATTCCGTCGAGGTTGCCTTCTACCGCTGGCTGATCAAACGAGAAGTAAGAAGCCACAAAGCAATGCAATCGTACCTAGGTTCAGGAGAGAAACTTCAACAACCTGACATGTGGCACCGCCGCCATACGACTTCTTGGGATATCATGCTCCCGCATAGCTTGCAATGGAAAGAGTCGATTCGGAAACGAGTTAGCAGAAAATGTCCGAGCCACAGCCAATTTATATGAGCAAAGGAGACACAGGATCGTGAGCCAGCTGAAAATTTTGGCCATTGACGCGACGGTTTGGACGAGTTGTCACCTGGAAGGGAACAAGGAGCAGAAGGAGAGCTAACAAAGTCTAGGAGCCAAATGCATCGTCGTTGGTCGATGTTAAAGACGCTCGGACCATCTATCGCAATAACGAGACGAGCGATCGCACCATCATCTACCAGCAATATGGTCTAAACGGGGTTACAGAACCATGCTCACCCTCTCACACGTGTTCGCACTGTATCGTGGGCAGCCTTGTCTTGCCCATTTCCATCATGTTATCGTCAACCTCTCTTGTTCTCTGCCGTCGTCACCAGATTTTGAGTCAAGCCCCGAAGAGCCCGACAAAGAAAATCAAGTAACAAGAGACATGAATCAAGAAGGATGGCACCCCTCATCAGCCCTCCTGACAACACACCCAATCGGGAACTCCCTCCCGCCCTGACCAAACGCCCCTCAGCAACACCCCTGGGCTCTCATGCCATCGTATTCGACTGATCAATGCAGCCATTCGTTTCAGAGATCAAGGTCCCCTGCTCAAATTGATGGCCCAGCCTGAGCTAGCCGCCTCCGAAGATTTCCCGTCCTAGGCACATCCCCCGCAGCACAGCCGCCATGAATGGCGATCAGCCTATGGCAACCCGTCCGACAACCCAGCCGCAAGGTGATGGCCTGTAAGAGTGGTCAGGATCACAGGGCATGTGAGCTCTCCGGATATCGTCTGCACTGGTTCGAGTTTTGTGCGGGCTGCCTGTCTCGTGGGATCACCCATATGCCAGGTCGGGCACTTGGTTGACCTCTCTGGACCCAGTGCTGTTGCTTGGACGCGCCGAGCTTTATTGTCGGTGTCTTCTCTCGTCAGGTCCTTCTGGCGACGGGACCGGCGGGTCGGGGCGCGGCTTTGGATGTGGCTTGTCCCCATCGCGTATGCGAGTTACGGCGAAGGACGTCATCGTTGTTTAATGGAATTAGGGGAGAAGAACGGTGGCGGCGAGTGAAGTGGATGGATCTGCTTCTATCACAGCAGGTGACCAGAGTGCAAGTATACTCTGAGCAATGTCACTGAGGTGAGAATGATGATGAGCGTATAGGAGGGATCTTATCCGTGAAGGCAGACCTCGGAAAAGGGTGTTGGGCCACAAATGGGTCGTGCTCGAGGATAGACGAAGGGTCGTTTGGCGGGCCAGGACGAGCTTCGCAATGCCGACTTCAGATGGTGGCCTCCCACGTCCTTTTATTCACCCGCCGGCGACTCCCACAGAAGAAGCCCGCCCCCCCGGGGAACCACAGTGACCACCACACGACCATCTTCTACCCCACCACCAGGATCGAGCTCGAGGCATCTGAGAGCGCTCGAGCGGACAGGGACATGCCCTTGAATGATTATACTTTTCTTGGTCATTGATTTGGAAGCCAACAACATGGCGATGTGCAAATGGGATCATGTGTCCGGCACCCTCGATCTCTGTCCTATAGCTATCTGGACTGATATCCAGGACAGCACGGGACAACATGATTCGCGTTACCAGCACGCGATTTGATCAACTACTCGCCAGACCTTGTCCCAGCAAAGAAAACAAGTTTGACCTTGGCAGTAGTGTGAGTATCCGGTCACGCTGAACGCGCAATGAACTGCGAAGATGGAGCTGTTGTTGGAGGCGATCCATGGGGGATGGACCAATTTCGCCTTGTGCGATGGCGAGCCAGACCGCCCAGACTTTCACTGTGGCAGGTTTATGGGGTCGATCACCGGGGTCTGCCGCTCAACTAGCTGTGGCAGGGGTTGCGAGGCACGGCTAAGCGTTTGTGTGTGTGTGTGTCGCGAGGCTCTCAGCTGACTTTGATATTAGCAGCAGGATTGAAAGGCAACAAAGTTTGGGACTGACTCAGGGCTGGGATTGAGGATGCGCGCCAACGATCGACGCCTTGCAGCAGTTTGACAACGGCACGTCACGGACCTTGTTGGGCGATATCCCACCCATGAGTCTATTCGAGGGCGCGCCCAACGTCTTTGGGGCATAGACCTGCCCGCGGCCCTTGTCCATGTGAGGGTGTGCGAGCTGGTCGTCTGTGCGGCTGTCTGCCCGCTTTTGGTTCCTGTTCCCTAATGCCGGGGATGGTCCATATGTGGTGGATGCGGCGTTTGCGAACACGCCCCCCCGAGCCCTGCCGTGCTTTGCATCGCCCCGCCTCGCCTTGTTGAAGAGGGACTCCTGTCATCATCATGCACGCATGCATGTCGCCCAGGAAAGACATTGCTGCAGAATGAGGGGATGTGCCTAGGGCCGCTCGAGCCCCCTCGGCGCGTTGAACCGAAGGAAGCAAAAAGTGGTCTGCAATCTTTCTCATCACACACCATGGAACGCAGGCGGGCTGTGGTTGAGCCTCTTCGACAACCGGCCGGAAACACCTGCTCAGCACCTGCGTCGCTCTGCCACTGGTGCGCCTTGAAATCAATAGTCGCAGGCAGGGGTTGCCTCACGTCAACAAAGAGCCTGGCCCTGGCCATCGTGAGATTCGTATCGAGTTCCTTGTCGGGAAGCTCGTTGTGCGCACGGCTCCTGATCTGATGTGGCGTTCTAGTTTGCCTGCGGCATATCCCGGCACGCTTCTGGTCTTGTCTCGCCTGTCCTAGCTCCCGCAGTGTCACACTCGCCAAAGCGCACAAACCATGCGGCGGCGGCTATCGAATGCGGTGGCGGGCGTACCGGCGAGTGAGGAGGGGTTGGCTGGCGGGCTGATCACCATCTTTCGTAGCTTGCGGACGGGTGAGAACAAGCGCCGGTCACGCACATCGATGGAGGCATTTTTAAGACATGGCTTTTATTGACAGGACTGACAGGCTGCTCGACATAATCAGCCTCGACAAAGCGGACAGACTATCACTCACGCACAGTCCCCAATGTCACACACGGCTGGGCTCTGGTCCGGGGTCCTCCTCTCCTGCTGCTACTTCTTTGGGCCATATGCGGCATGTGCGCAGGCTGCGACGGCTTAATTGATCGAGAGCATTGACGGGGCCTGGCGTTGAGACAGCGAGCGCGGTGCCCACTGTGCTTCGCCGACGTCTTGTTGGTCATCATTATTTCAGATTATTCCGCGCATATCTGGTCGACAAGCCCCTGGAGCCAATCGCGCAGCGACCTGCGTTACCGGATACAAGTTAGTCACCCGATCGACTGTCAGTTCTCACGCCAGGTGTTTCCGCAATGCATCGACCTAACGGAGGGCGGAAGGGAAGCCAGCAGACAACAGAGAGGAGACAACAGAGAGGAGACAACAGGCAAGAGACGAGACGAGAGAGACATCAACAAAGATGGGAAGAACGACGAGGAGTTTCGAGGGCGCCACGAGGGGGAGCAGAACAATCGGGGAACACCAGGCAGATGGTTCACTGCTGCTGAAAGCCCCGTCCCTGCGGCACCTGCAGCATGACATGCAGCTAGGCTGCACTCTAGTGGGATCAGGTGCCGCTACTGGGGCGCCCAGAGGACGCCGTCGGTCCGGCTACGACGCATCGGGGGCTTTCCATAGGCCACGGCCCGCCCCTGAAGACGGACAAGACGGACACGGTTCTGCCTCACAGCCGGCCGGACGCGTTCTTTTTTCCCACTACCCCGCGATTCCGCAGTCGTCGCGGACGGGCGCAACCCCGCAACGCCATCACATGGGAGCAGCAGGAGTGGCAAGCCGGCTACCCAGGACGTGGGCGCGGCTTGCGCGGGCCAGCCAGCGTGGTCAGGGCCAAGCGGCCGGTTGGTGCTTTTAACCTAGGCTCATCGTAATGACGTGTGTGCCGATGGCTAGCCGAGAGACGGATTGACGGACAGATTTGAGTTCTTTTATGTTGGACCTTTTGTAGGAAGCTTCTCTTGTCCCTCTTTCGACACACACATTGTCAGGACGACTCTATCGGTTTTATTGTGCAACCAATTGACACACATTGCTGAAGCTCAAGCACCACCACCACCATCACCACCAGTATGATTGTCGCACATGAACGGGCAACACTGCCGATGATACACGACTGACAAAACGCAGATCATCCCCAGCATCACCAAGCAGCCGCCTCGACCGACGCAATGGCACCCCTCACACCGCACTGGACTCAGCCGTCGCACCCCGACGTGCAAGAGGTCATCAAGGCCAGCGAGACCGAGTTCCTCACCAAGAGCCTCTCCAAAGTCGCCCTGCCGCCCTTTGCCGTCTTCTCCAAGATGTCCTTCCCGCCTTGCACCCTCGCCGACAAGCCCACCTACGCGACCGTCCAATGTGGCAAGGACAAGCACCTCGATCTCAACAGCGACATGCTGTACATCAACCATTCGTGCGATCCCTCGCTGGTCAGTCATGCTGTCCCCCCCTCCCCGGTGCACCCGACGATGGACCCAGCGTTGCCGCTCTTCCTCCGCGCCGAACTGAACCTGCATCTGTCGTGCGCCCCACTAACGCAATGGCGAACCTCGGTAGATTTTCGACACGGGCAACTTGAACATTCTCGTCGGCCCGAAAGGCCTCCAGCCCGGCGACGAGCTGACCGTGCGTTTTTCCCCCCATCCTCCCTTCACCTCCCAGCTTGGTCGATTCGCTATTTCTGCTGACTCGAGCCCCCTTTGGGGGCGCCTCTCCAGTTCTTCTACCCCTCCACCGAGTGGTCCATGGCCCAGCCCTTCGACTGCTTCTGCGGAGCCCCCACCTGC